ATTCTCAGTCGTTTCGCCAGCATCACAGTCGGCATTGTCAGTGAATCTTACCAGACTCAGCACAAAGCTATAACTCGTCAGAGACAAGTGAAGTAAATCCGTTGACTAACTTTCTGCCGAAACAGTCGTGCTATCACGGCAGATGTGATGATACAACACTGAACTCGTCAAAAATGGCACACTGGAAGAATATAAACAAGTTAGAAGTTGTGATAATGCGAGAGTGAGACAAGAGGGCAGGAAGTATATTAATTGACCAGGACAGACTGGCAATGCTCATGGCGATGTCGACTACGATGCCGGCGAAACGTCTGGGAATGTACTACGTCCACTGTCCGACCCTGGAAATTAGCAACATACTATGGACTCCGCTTTAGGTGCGTTCCTCTAAATCTTCCTACCAATATGACCAGGTTGCGAAAACAAGGTCAAACAACTGCTATAGAGCGAATAAGACTGCGACTACACAAAAGGCCACACCATCTTGGTCTTCATACCTTCAATTAATCAAAACATTTAAATATTCTTTCAATGAGTAAAAAACAACACAAATGGGGTGGAAATGAAGCCTCGCAAAATTATATATTTTACTTTGGGAATACTTAAAAATGATTATCTTAGAGGTAATTTGTCAGGTCAAACCTGAAAAATAAGATAAAGTTGTGTATCATTGCATTTCTTGCCATGCGAGAGCTCTGAACAATAATACTGCGCATCAAGCGCGGTGTCCAGAACAATCATGAGTGTAAGTGTACCTATTTAAGGATTTTATTATAATAAAAAAACTTGGAGGTCAAAGCTTAACTCATCTTTTTCAAAAGTGTAAAGATATATTACCAAATGTATAGAGCTGAGAAATAAGAAATCAAAAGAAATATAGGCAACCTATACAGTCCTACCTATTTGTAACTTCGGAAAAGACTAGAGGAGCTAATTGAGACAAGACGTGAACAAATAGCCTAAAGTCTAGCATCCGAGTGTTGTGCAGAGAGTTCACACACATATGACGTATGCCTTCACGTATGTATGACGATGTATACGCCACTTGCCAGCCTGAGGAAATATTAAGATAAAAAGGTAGCGCACAGTAAGAAACTACGATTCCGAAGCAAACTGAAGCAAAATAACAGATGCACACAATCCATGTGCATATTAGAATATATATGTGGTTGCATGTGTGTGTCGGCTAGGCCAGATTTCTAAGAGACAAAAAATATAACAAGGAAAGTAAACAGAGGGAATAGTATTTAAATAGGAAAAAATATGACGCATCAAAAGAATGCGATTGCTCCTTCATTAGAATAACCAGAAGGTCAATAAGAAAAAAAATAAATGATAATTTGGAAGTAAAGAAAAGTAATAGTTGTAATATAAAAAAGACGCAACTTAACGGGTGCAGTCAAAATTTACAAGCATCCGCTGGGAATTATGGTCTAATATTTAGAAGGTAAACTAAATATAAGTAAGAAGTTGTTTGACCTTGTTTTCGCAACTTA